CATGACAGCGTACACTATTCGGACTTAGCACTCAAACTTCTGGAAGAAGCAATAGCAGTATGATAACACAAAAACATTTTGAGTGTATGAGACGATTGGAATAAGATTCCAGTTTGTATGTGTGTGTGTGTGTTAACATCAACATTTCAGATAAATTCATTTACGTATACACAGCAAGTCTGAAATATGATAGAACGTATAGTATGAATACTGCTACTAATCACTATGATACGGATCTCAATGCAGATCATTTCAAAGGCACACACACACACACGAACACACTGAAACAAAAAATGTATAACTTCATTATTTTTTCTGGTAATAAACATTTTTACGAGTTGATCACGGATTGATATCATTTAGAGAAGCATTGAAAACCAGCCACAGGAAGTATTGGACAGCCAGCTGTTTCATCCCAGTTTGAGAATCGTCGCCAGTACGCACTCACTACGTCTTTTTGAAGCTATGAGCTTCTGTTTACAAGGTGAATTCATAAATCATACCGCCACCGTGACCCAATTCAATGGCCAGCTCATGAATTCCAACTTCTACCGATTCGTGATTCAGCGCGACCCCATCCAATGTCATCAGTGGGACATACATCCTCACACGTGACTGCATCGACCTCACTGGTCACGACTTCTCACTACAACTCCAGGAAACGCCATCCTGTAGCAAGTCACTAGCGAGCATCACATTCATTTTCTATAGTTGGTTTGTAAGAATTAGTTTTGTTGTTACGAGTTGATCACGGATTGATATCAGTTAGAGAAGCGTCAAAAACCAGTCACAGAGAAAAGAAGGCGAATTCATTCACTGAGCTGTACAATCGCATATATATAAATCAATTTTGCTTGTGTGTGTGTACATTAGATTTATAAAGTTTAGATGATTATGTAATATAAGCATTATTTGGCTTGGAGATAAACGTTAAGATAGAAAACAAAGTAGAATTGATTAAGTGAATTGGATGACGTAATACAATTGAGTAGAATTCAGAGTAGGTCAGGTTGGCGACAATGTTAGTGAATGGTGGTTTAGATTAGATAAGGGTGGGGGTAGAGGATAATACAGTTGGAAATAAGTAAGTTAATCGGATGACGTAATATAGTTGACTAGAAATTGGACGTGGGTCAAGTTAGCAACATTGTTAATGAGGGTAGAGATTACAAAAGGGTGGGGTAGAGAATAATACAAATGAAGATGTGAAATAATAAAATGCAAAAGACAAAATAATACAATTAGTAAGACTGAAATTAAGAAAGATTGCGGCCATTGTAGATTTAATGAATGAACGAATTTCTTTTGTATGCAGAGTTCAGGATTTAGCAGATGAATTGCCATTGCTTCTGCGATGTGGAGAAGTTTGATCCGTACACTTTTAGCAAGATTGCTTTGTATTCTGTAGATGTTGTTAGCACATACATTCAAAGTTATCCACGTCCAATTTCTAGTCAACTATGTTACGTCATCCGATTAACTTACTTATTTCCAACTGTATTATTCTCTACCCCCACCCTTATTTAATTTTAACCACCACTCATTAACACTGTTGCCAACCTGACCTACTCTGAATTCTACTCAACTGTATTGCGTCATCCAGTTCACTTAATCAATTTTATTTTATTTTCTATCTTAACGTTTATCTCCAAGCCAAATAATACTTATATTACATAATTATCTAAACTTTATAAATCTAATGTACACACACACAAGCAAAATTGTATATATATGCGATTGTACAGCTCAGTGAATGAATTCGCCTTCTTTTCTTTTATATTTCCTACAGTGTTCATCAGCTGCACACAATTTAAAATAATTAAATACATAAGTGATTTTTGTGACATTGTTTCTCATGTACTTTTATACGAGAAGAATAGTACGTCAGAAATGAAGATAATTTACAGATTATGCAAGAGGAAGGGAAATACAGTTGTGTACTAGAATTGTTGAATATATGCAAAAAGGTCTGTAATTTTAGATGTTCAGCCTTCTTTTAACAGTGTTATAACTTGACACCTAGCTCACACTAGATGTCAGATCAATACATCAGAATCTTTAGAGATACAAGGTACATGACTTGACTCACTTTGATGAAATAAACTTTATGAAGTACGCTGATGATTTAACTGTTTCAATGGCTGTTAACTCCCAGCTAGATTGTACAAAAATAAATAGCTTTCTGTCGGGAGTCAGTAAATGGTCTGAGTCTTACGGTCTTAAACTGAAGCCTTCTAAATGTCAAACTGTTAATTTCAGCTTAAGATGTAAAAGACAGTTAAAAGAAGCCGTCGATTCTCATGACAGTTGTAAGATTGACGATAATGATATAGGAATTAAGTCAGAAATTAAGTATCTTGGACTTATTCTCTCTTCTGATCTCTCCTGGTCTTCCCATGTCTCAGCGATCTCCAGTAAAATATTCCGCCTGGCATTTTACATTAACAAGTTAAGGCACTCGGGTATAACTCAACCCCTCCTCTTACAGTTCATAAACTATTGTATCCTACCTATTCTTCTTTATCATTCACGCTTATTCTTTCCTGGTTTGCTTAAAAAGGACTTTGTCACAATTCGTAGAATGCTGAAGACTGTTAGTAGGATGAGTGGTGTCCCAGTGGACTACATAGTTAACGTCGTTGTTGTTAGACACTTGACTTCGTGCAATAAATTTGCTAAAGGGATTTTGTCTGACTTGGAGCATCCACCACAGCACCTCAGCTTTCACCTTCCACCTCCTCAGGTAGAACAAGAAGTAACTTCAGAAAACTGTATGCTCGCACGGCTAAGTACAAAAATTCTATGATACCATACTTGGCACGTATTTTATGTGATGAAAATAGTGTCAGGTAAGAATTTTCACTTGTATTATTACTCTTATTACCTTAGCTGTTATCATTATTATTATTATTACTTCCATTTTATATGCTGCATGTTTTTTTGACATTACCCCTATTGTAAATGTAGAAACATTTTCTGTGTGATTAATTTTATGTATAATTTGAGGAAATTAGATGTAATATTGTGAATAATGCAGAAAATTCCATTCTGTATAACAAGTACTGTTTTTGGAACGAAGTAAATCATTATTATGATTATTATTATGATAAAGGACTTCATAACAGCCTGGAATTTCTGAATCTGTCGCAATCCGAAGAGAGCGCCAGAGACCATTACCAACGTTTTACTAGTTAGTTACTAGACACAATAAAGCTTTCAGTGTAACTTTTTAAAATTTCATTTTCTGTTTTTTAGTGACGTCACTTGATGTTTTTGTATTCACATACTTTTACAACAATTTCGATTGGTTTTCTAGTTATGCTTAAACGTTTGTTTTAATGAATCACCACTACACGATTACATAACCACTCCCACCCACTTTTATCTTAATGCACATTCTAATGCAAGTACAATTCTTGCTTCGAGATAATAATGAGAACCTCGCCACTGGGTGAAAACTTTCTTTTATTCATTTCCCATATAGTTTATACATTCTTATCATTTCAAACGTTTTATTCCACTCCTATCAAATGAATCAGTTATTCATTTAAAATATTTCAGAACTATACTACTCATATGCATCGACAGCATAGTGGTAGAGTGCTCGCCGACCACGCTTCACGTAGTCCGGGATCCGATCCCCGGCCACAGACGCACTCTTTCACCTCACTAAGTCCGTAGTCAGACTGGTCAAGTGAGAAAGTTTAAAATGAGGCTGGTTAGCAACCCCATCCTGTAAAAAAAATAATCACCACTCCTACAAAAACTTTAAGCCTCTAGCTTGAAGGTGCCCTATGTTCCACTGGGAAAGTAAAAGAATAAAAGAAAAATATTTGAATAAATATTACTCACGGTGATTACTACTCAATGTATTCAACTGTTCAGGTTGTAAGCAGTTAACAAAAGTTTATCAAACCAGCTAAGAGCATAAACAACTTAAATGCATTCTACTCTTTTAACTTAAGAAAATAATCTTCAAAAGAATGGATACTGAACAAAGAATACCCTTTTCGATAACTTCATCATCAGGCTCTACAGTTATATATATATACATTATAGTGAATGAATGAATTAGTGTTATGAACTACATTAATATTGATAGATTACAGCTGAATAGCATCAACACAACACTACACAGTGAACATCAAACAAAAATTGAGAAAGATAATAATACAAATTCATGAATTTATAATCGCGACTGAAAAAGGTCAGGGCAGTAGTAGTGGCTAGTTGTACTTGCTTCTTCTGCACACAAACCACTGGTTGTTTCAAGTGAATCTAGATAGCCTCTGCTGTTTGGAGCATGCGGTACTTCGATGATATTGGAAATTTATTATGCACCCGATAGAGGATGGAGATGGATGGATTCTTCCACACTGGCTTTGAGGCTGGTTTGTATCAGATGGTCCAATATCGATTTGTTAATGGTTTTTTCTACACATTTACTAAGCCATACTGGGAGATGTTCCCGAGCGAGCACGAAAAATCAAGTTTCTAAAGCAACAGCCAATATAACTCACGAGTTATATATATATATATATATATAAATTGACAAAAACATCGAGGTACTGCATGCTCCAAATAGCAGAGGCTATCTAGATTCACTTGAAACAACCAGTGGTTTGTGTGCAGAAGAAGCAAGTACAACCAGCCACTACTACTGCCCTGACTGACCTTTTTCAGTCGCGATTATAAATTCATGAATTTGTATTATTATCTTTCTCAATTTGTTTGATATTCACCGTGTAGTGTTGTGTTGATGCTATTCAGCTGTAATCTATCAATATTAATGTAGTTCATAACACTGATTCATTCATTCACTATAATGTTTATATATATATATAACTGTAGAGCCTGATGATGAAGTTATCGAAAAGGGTATTCTTTGTTCAGTATCCATTCTTTTGAATACAATTCTAATGGGTATTTTTGATCAGTTAAAAAAAAATAAACAAAATGAAATTATGCCAAACACAACATGTCGAATATTGAACTCTTTCTTTTTGCATGACCTTCCGAACTCACCCAAAGTTAACTTCATTAAGTATGCTGATGATCTGACCGTTTCTGTCCCTGTAGTTTCCACATCGGATTGTTCCCATATGAATGGCTTCTTAGCTGAAGTTAAGGATTGGTCTGGCTCAAATGGTCTTAAACTAAATCCAACTAAATGTAATACTGTTGATTTCAGCTTGAGAAGTGAAAAAGACATGCATGGATTGATCCAATCTCATGATTGTTGTAATATTGATGGTACCATGATAGAGAGTAAGTCAAGTGTTTCTTATCTTGGCATTAGTTTCTCTTCAAACCTTTGCTGGTCGTCTCATATTCTTATAGTTTCTAAAAAGATTTTCTGTCTGACTTATTACATAAAGAAGTTGAGGCACTCAGGTATAACCCAATCTCTTCTCATACAATTTATTAATTCATGTGTTTTGCCCATCATTCTTTATTGTTCTCCATTATTCTTCCCTGGGCTACTCAAGAAAGACCATATAATACTACGAAGGACATTGAGGGCTGTAAGTAGGGTCAGTGCTATCCCTTTGACTCAACTAACCGACACTGTTGTCAATAGGCACATGAATTCTTGTAAACACTTAGCTAAAGTTATTTTGTCTGATAGTGAACATCCTCTTTATTCACATTTGTTTCCTTGTATCTCTTCGGGTAAGACCAGAAGAAATTTCATAAACATTTATGCTCGTACTACAAAATATAAAAATTCGACCGTACCATATTTGGCACGAGTATTGTGTGAAGAGACGAATATCAGAAAAGAACTTTTACAACTTTTAAATCATTAACTAAACTATAAAATGTAATGATGCATATTATTGCATGTGTGATTTGTTATATTATTTATTTATTATTTCACTATGACCTAGAAATGGTGTGATTTTTGGGGGGTTTTTATTCTTTCCTATTAACTATCAATATTTTAACATTTTATACATTTATATAATTATAAACAGAGCTAAACCAATGCAATATGTAAAATGAAACGCTGAAAATTCCATGCTGTAAATTGTTATTGTTGTGGAATAAAGTGATTATTATTATTATTATATTATTAATGTGTAATTTACATATATATATATATATATATATTAATAAGTCATACCTTTTCTATTTGTATCCCACCGTTGTTTTACATATATACAATGCAGTAAATAGGAAATTTGTGATTGTACATCCTTATCAACTGTTCGAAATTCTCCTCCCCTCCTTGATGATAATGTTGTACGAAATTCTGTTATACTCTCCATCATTCTTATATACATATATATATATGTATATAGGTTTATTTGCCTTATATATAGAATATAGTAACACAAAAATCAAGAAAGAAAATAATCCCGCCCGTTTCTTTCTTTCTTACTTTCTTTCAGAAGACACTTATTCAAAGGAAAAATAATGAGACGGTAGAGATGAAGTAGTAATTAATTTATTGTAGTAGATGTGTTTTAATACAATGAATAATTTTGATATAATTTTTGTTATTAATTTATACATATATATATATACATTCTGTCTTACATAACATTATAATAATTTACAAGGATTTCCTTGTGATACCACAATAAACACATGAATCAAATGGTCTAAAAGATAAGTTGCTTTAAGTAGAAACACAAATTTCATTGGATACACAAAGCTGATTGGTCAAAATTATTCAACAGTACAATAAATAAATGCTCATATACATGCATATATATATATATACCAGCTGAACTATTATTATTATTCACAGATGGATTTTCTTAAGAAGCGAACTGGTTGGCTCTCACGAGGTATGCAACATAGACAGCACTGAAATAGAAACCAAGTCGGAAATTAAATACCTAGGCGTCATTCTATCTGCTGATCTCTCCTGGTCGTCTCATATCTTGGCGATTTCTAAGAAAATATTCCGTCTCACCTTCTACATCAAGAAGTTAAAACATTCTGGTATAACCCCCCAACCCTTACTACTACAATTCGTTAATTCTCGCATCCTGCCTATTATTCTCTATTGTTCCGCCTTAGTTTTTCCCGGGCTACTGAAGAAAGACTATAACATATTACGCAGGATGTTAAATGTTGTCAGCAGGGTAGGCAATGTGCCACTTAACCAGCTGGTTAATATTCTGGTCGACAGGCACATGGACTCATGTGAAAAATGGGCCAAATCCATCTTATCTAACTCACACCACCCTCTTCACTCACAACTCTCCCCTTGCATCTCATCAGGCAAAACCAGAAGCCTATATAGAAAACTATATGCTCACACCAGCAAGTACATAAACTCAACCATACCCCTTTTGGCTCGTGTTCTGTGTGATAAAGAAAGCATTAGGCGTGACACCTATAATTCATTAAACAGTCAGTAGTACAACTGGACCTCGTCTTTCCAACTCATATCATTTATAGGTACAACATTTTCTTTCTTTCTTTTCCTTTTCTCTCTCTCTTTTTTTCTTTCTTTCGCTATGTGCTGCTTTGTTTCTTTCTTCCGCTTACGCCAGTAAATATGATAGCACCTACTTTTCTAACACCTTCAAACACTGTTCAACTTTGGCTTTGCTACCGACATGCCAATATGTTGTTGTCATAATGAACTGAGATTTCCTTAATCTATGCAGAATTCTATTTATTGATAATGTACTAACTGGATGCAATACTGTAGTAAAAATGCTGAGAATTCCATTCTGTATCACAAGTACTGTTTTGGAATAAAGCAAATTATTACTATTATTACATATATATATATATATATATATATATCTTACAGAAAATCAAAACAAGTGGTGATTCAGCGAAGAGACTCTTTTCAACAACGAAATTATCATCAAACTGTACAATCGTATATTATGTATGGTTTCTTTTATAAGAAATTATATCCGGTGAGGGAATTGAAACATAGGTGTGAATGCATAAAATAATAATAATATGAAATGCAATTAAAACTAAAATGTTTGTGATTATAATCATAATTAGTTCCCTTTATGAATTTAGATATAGCAATACGAAGACGTAATTTGTCTGAATCGTGTAATGTATTTGCGTGCACAACACATTTCGAACAATCTGATCACACACACGGACTTGTCATAGGAATATATATGAAATTAATAAAGAGGTAAGAGGTGAGAAAATAGACTACTTAGGTCAAGTTAAAAGGAATACATTGAAGGTCAAAATAACAATGAAGACCACTAAACCAAATAACAGAGGTAATAGTACATCTGCTATGGTATCAAAACAAAATTTACCAAGGAAGGTTTAATGTGATGACGAATTGTTTTTGAACGCATAAAGGTGGCTTAAACTTTCTAATTGCTAGCTAGGGCTTCCACAAACTTTAGGATACGCCCCAAACACGTTTTATAGATAGAAGGTTTAAAAGATCTGTTAACGTCAATTTTATGTCCTGTCTCTCTGTAATATGTTTCGCAATAGAAGAGCTAGGTCTCCTGTTCTCATCGTTAATAGGTTCTGAAGATTCCATTTGTTTCTGGAGCCATTTAGGAATATGCTCTTTATTAATTTCATATATATTCCTATGACAAGTCCGTGTGTGTGATCAGATTGTTCGAAATGTGTTGTGCGCGCAAATACATTACACACACGATTCAGACAAATTACGTCTTCGTATTGCTATATCTAAATTCATAAAGGGAACTAATTATGATTATAATCACAAACATTTTAGTTTTAATTGCATTTCATATTATTATTATTATTTTATGCATTCACACCTATGTTTCAATTCCCTCACCGGAAATAATTTCTTATAAAAGAAACCATATATAATATACGATTGTACAGTTTGATGATAATTTCGTTGTTGAAAAGAGTCTTTTCGCTGAATCACCACTTGTTTTGATTTTCAATATGTTACAATGGGAATTTTCCATGATATATGTGTATCTGGAAACAGGCGAATAAACGATAATAAGTATTGTCTTTCAAAAGTGTGTTCAGTTAGAGGACAATCAACACTATGCTGACGTAACACATATATATCATTTCGTCAACAATTTGTTAAATTACTCACTAGTAGACCAAATTTCACTTAATACCCTAGTTGAATAGACAGACATTTTCATGAAGTGGTTAGCTTTAATCATAGTACAGAGAGAAAAAAAGAAAAACCAAAATCACTTTTCAGAGAGTTCGGGTTAATTGGCAGGTTTGATTACTTACTTTCATGGTAGGTTTCTTGAAGGATTTCTGAGCATCATCATACACTATGGTTAAGTAAAGGATAAACAAAATCCATTCATCACAGAGCGCTATTCTATCTCATCCTGTGGATACAGAACACAAGATTGATGTCAGCGATGCCGCTTTCAGAGTCATTTATGACATACCAACAAATCTCAATTTAGTCTTAAGAGTTCGTTTACTAAATATTGCCGGGGCTGTTGGGATCCACATTAAGAAGCCTAACTTATGTATTCATCCAAAAGAGGCTAGTTCACACATTATCCTTACCTTGGCCATCTAGGTTTGAATGATCCTCAATTTTTGTGGAAATTTACCTTATTTTAGTTGATATTCTATTTGCTATTGTATCTTTATTATTATTGTAATTTATGCCGATTTGATGAACTGTAATTCCACTGTGATCTTACTTTACAAATCGATAGTATTTAAAAAACACTGATATTGTTATTGACTACTATTCTAGAATATTCTATGTATATAAACACACATATATTACATGCCCAGACGTCGTCGAAGCATCTGCTCAAGAAGCCGACATGTCAACCTGAGACCGAGCACTTCGGTCCAATCAATCGACGGGAAAATCCAAAATTCAATTAAATCAATATGACCCGTTGCGCAAGAAGGTGGCTCTCGTGGCCCAAGTGGTCTAGTGGATAACGCTTTGGCGTTTGAAACTATGGTCACTGGGTTCGAGCCTCGGTGGGAACATCATCACTCACTGAGAAATGCAGGTACATCCAGTAGCTGATGAGTCCCAAATAGGACGAAATGCGCATCCTGGATTCCACTGCTAGTCACCATCCACCAATTAAATATCGGAAGGGATATTGTTTGCTCAGTTATTTGGCATTCTAAATGTTTAGTTGATTTTCAGTGTAGTAGAACATCTACTCGTATGCACCTAATTGAATTTAATCGTGAAAGTACTTGGAAGTAAGTAGCGGATGTCAGTAATTTCACACTTTTCAGTTTTCGAACTTTTAAAGAAATTGACATGGAGACTATGATGTTAGTTAGATGCTCTTTTTTCTTAGAAAATAAACGATTTCTGTCAAAGCGAAATCGGAAATGTTCAGAAATTTGTCGATGAACTTACCTGATCCTAACTAACTGGCTGGTTACACTGGGCTTACGATCGGGCAAGTTTTTCGTTGAATTTATAGACAACTTTAATTTAGGCTTTATCATGAATCATAATCAGTCAGAGAATCATGAAAAATCTAGGAGTACTGGACAAATGTTTGTTTTTAGTTTGAAGACTATTCAGTATTCACTTCTCAACGGTTTTTCAGTGGTACTCTGATTCATGTCATTTGGAAAATACAAAACAAAAATTGAGCAAAGAATATCCTTTTCGATAATTTCCTCCTCTTCTGGCTCTACAATTATATATATGTGTGTTTATATACATAGAATATTCTAGAATAGTAGTCAATAACAATATTTGTGTGTTTTTTAGAAATAATATCGATTTGTAAAGTAAGATCACAGTGGAATTACAGTTCATCAAATCGGCATAAATTACAATAATAATAAAGATACAATAGCAAATAGAATATCAACTAAAATAAGGTAAATTTCCACAAAAATTGAGGATCATTCAAACCTAGATGACCAAGGTAAGGATAATGTCTGAACTAGCCTCTTTTGGATGAATACATAAGTTAGGCTTCTTAATGTGGATCCCAACAGCCCCGGCAATATTTAGTAAACAAACTCTTAAGGCGAAATTAAGATTTGTTGGTATGCGGTTAATGGCATTGAAAGCCGCCTGGTTTACATCAATCTTGTGTTCTGTATCCACAGGATGAGATAGAACAGCACTCCAAATATATTTCGTTTGTCCTTCACTTAACCACTGTACCGGGTGATGTTCGGAAATATGGCGAGAAACACACCTAATTGTATGGCCTTTGTAACTGGCTCACTCCACAAGAGCAGTCAAATCGGTAGACACACATGGAAGAGGCGAAATTAGGCAGTTTGTCTTTTACTCCTGCACACAAAATAGGAGTGGTTTTGAAGATACAGCATAACTGAGCAGCAGGGAATG